CCCTGTGTGTCCCTGACGCTGTCCCCTGTCCCCTGTCGCTGTCCCCTGTGTGTGTCCCCTGTCCCCTGACGCTGTCCGTGTCCCCTGTGTGTGTCCCCTGTCCCCTGTGTGTGTCCCCTGTCGCTGTCCGTGTCCCCTGACGCTGTCCCCTGTCCCCTGACACTGTCCCTGTCCCCTGTGTGTGTCCCCTGACACTGTCCGTGTCCCCTGTGTGTGTCCCCAGGCCACCTGGAACATGGCCATGCTGCAGACCGAGGACATCCCCAAGTCGGTGCAGGCGGCGCTGGACAAGAAAGGGCCCGAGGCCGTGCCCTTCGCCAAGCTCTGACGTCACCTCTGACGTCACCAGTGCCACCTCAGTGTCACCTCAGTGCCACTGGTGTCGCCTCAGAGCCGCAGGTGTCACCTCAGTATCACCACAGTGCCACAGGTGTCACCTGTGTCACCTCGGTGTCGCTGCCATGTCCTGGCCTGAGAGGTGTCACCTCAGTGTCACCTCAGTGTCACCGCCGTGCCCTGGCCTGAGCTCTGATGTCACCGCAGTGCCATCCCCAGTGTCCCTTTCTCCAGGCTGTAGAACCCCCCGGTGTCCCCTGGGTGTCCCCTCAGTGTCCCTTCGGTGTCCCCTGGGTGTCCCTTCGGTGTCCCCAATAAACTCCTTTGTACCCTCAGCTCCTCGGCTTCTCGTGGACGGGCACCCCCTGTCCCCAAAGTGCCACCACCCGGGGTCTGGGGGTGTCCCCAAAATGTCACCCTGGCTCTGGGTGTGTCCCCAGAGTGCCACCCGGGGTCTGGGGGTGTCCCCAAAGTGCCACCCGGGGTCTGGGGGTGTCCCCAAAGTGTCACCACCATGGGTCTGGGGGTGTCCCCAAAGTGCCACCACAGGTCTGGGGTGTCCCCAAAGTGCCACCCGGGGTCTGGGGGTGTCCCCAAAGTGATGCCATGTGGGTCCCTGTGTCCCCAAAGTGCCACCACAGGTCTGGATGTGTCCCCAAAGTGCCACCCGGGGTCTGGGGGTGTCCCCAAAGTGCCACCACGGGTCTGGATGTGTCCCCAAAGTGCCACCACAGGTCTGGGGTGTCCCCAAAGTGTCACCACCATGGGTCTGGGGGTGTCCCCAAAGTGATGCCATGTGGGTCCCTGTGTCCCCAAAGTGCCACCACGGGTCTGAATGTGTCCCCAAAGTGCCACCACGCTGTCTCTGGGGTGTCCCGAGCCCCCTCCCTGAGCCCCGCCCGGGTCAGAGTCCAGGGCGGTGTCCCCTGTGCCAGGTGTGTCCCCTGTGCCAGGGCAGTGTCACCTGTGCCAGGTGTGTCCCCTGTGCCAGGTGTGTCCCCTGTGCCAGGTGTGTCCCCTGTGCCAGGTGTGTCCCCTGTGCCAGGTGTGTCCCCACCCCCCCATTCCCGTTCCGGGGGGTCAAAGTCCGCACCCCGCCCTGGGAGGGGCCGGAACCGGGGGGGGCCCGGCCTGGGGGGAGGGGCTGGGGGGGTATAAATGTCCCCGTGGCACTGCCACCATCGCTGCCACCGCCAGTGCCACCATCGCCGCCACCGCCAGTGCCACCACCGCCAGTGCCACCACCGCCAGTGCCACCACCGCCGCCACCGCCGCCATGACCTTTGTCCCCGCGCCCGGATACCTGCCCGCCTACAACCCGGTGGGTACCCCAAAAACGGGGCTGGGGGCACCCAAACCTGGGGGGAAGGGTCGGGGGGGTGTCCCTGTCACCCCCCGGTGGTGACACTGGGATCCCCCCATGGTGACACTGGGACCCCCTGTCACCCCCCCTGGTGGCACTGGGACCCCCTGTCACCCCCTCTGGTGACACCGGGACCCCCTGTCACCCCCTCTGGTGGCACTGGGACCCCCAGTGGTGGCACTGGGACCCCCTGTCACCCCTCCTGGTGGCACTGGGACCGCCGGTGGTGACACCGGGACCCCCTGTCACCCTTCATGGTGACACTGGGACCCCCTGTCACCCTTCATGGTGACACTGGGACCCCCTGTCACCCCCCATGGTGACACTGGGACCCCCTGTCACCCCTCCTGGTGACACTGGGACCCCCTGTCACCCCCCATGGTGGCACTGGGACCCCCTGTCACCCCTCCTGGTGACACTGGGACCCCCTGTCACCCCTCATGGTGGCACTGGGACCCCCTGTCACCCCCACTGGTGACACTGGGACCCCCTGCAGTGACACCGGGACCCCCTGTCACCCCCCCCGGTGACACTGGGACCCCCTGACGCCGCTGTCCCCTCCCCCAGCCCCTGCCCTACGTGGCCCCCGTGCTCGGGGGGCTCTGGCCCGGGATGGCCATTTACGTGCAGGGGGTGGTGGCCCCCCAACCTGACTGGTACTGGGGGCACTGGGGGGGCACTGGGGAGTATTGGGGGGCACTGGGGGCACTGGGGGGCACTGGGGGGACACTGGAGCATATTGGGGGGGCACTGGGGGGGGAACTGGGGGGCACTGGGGGGGCACTGGGGGCACTGGGGGGGCACTGGGGGGGGAACTGGGGGGCACTGGGGGGGCACTGGGGG